TAGCTATCTTTACTACTTAAGTATATATCTATACCTAGATAAAGCTATTACTATTCTACCTTCTCTATAGTATATATCTATTACTATCTAGTTATCTATAAACTAATTAACTAACTACCTAAGGTATTAAAACTTAATTATAATATATTAATTATATATAATCTCTAGCTAATAAGAAGCTATTAGTATATATAATTAAATAAAACTTAATTTAAGATAGTAATATAAAGGAATCTTATTTTATAAAAGATTAATAGATCCTTATTTAGAATAAGTCTCCTTAGAAGTTCTAATATAAATAGTTTAGCCTATATAAGATTAAATAATTATACCTACTTAGTATATACACTATTTTAGAACCTAATAGATATATAGTAGAAAACTTAATTAATAGCTAATAATTAATAGAAGCTAATTTTAATAATAAGCTAGAGAAACTATAGATATTAGCTATATTAATATAATAACTATAGAAGGTAGAATTATTAATTTATATACTAATTAAAATATATAAAATACTTAAAGAAGTTAAAGAACCCTTATTTTTATATAATAATCTTTCTAAGATAACTTAAAAGGATTAGGAATCTACTAAATATTTAAAAGTATATTTAAAGTAGATAGAAAAGGATATCTTAATAAAGTAATATATTTAATAAATAAAAATTTAAGAATATATTAATAATATACTAATAGAAACTAGCTATTTTATATATTATCTAAAGAAGTTAACTCTAGAAAATAATTAAAGTAAAATTAATTTAACTTCTTTAAATAATAAGTTAAATAAGGGAATACTATATAATTTATTAAAGAATAATTAAATTTAATAATATATTATTAGAAGAGATATAAACTTTAATAAACTATTTATAGTAATAGTTCTAACTTATTAAGAGTAATTAGAGAAGGATAAATTATCTAATATTATAAAAATATTTAAATAGAAGAAGATAGATTTATTTAATTAGAGTTAAAACTACTTAAAAATAACTAAATATAAAAGAATATAATTAAATAAAAAAATCTTTTAGACTTTTTTAATTTTATTAACTTTCTTAATAGAAGTAATATTTAACTATCTTAGCCTTTATCTCTATTTTAAAGACTAATAAGACTAGAAAATTATTTATTCTAATATATTTTATTCTTTAAATTAAGTTTTTTATTATCTTTATTTATTTTATTAGGGTAAAGAGCTTCTTTAAGCTTTAAAATTTTCTTATTAATAAATTTAAAGAAATAAGTAAAATTCTCTTAAATTACTTAAAGTATAATAAAATCTTTAAAGTTAGATATTAATATAAGCTAAGAAAGAATAATACTATTAAAAAAATAATTAAAATAATATTTCTTAAAGAAAGTTAAAGATATTTTATTTAAAATAAGATAATATTTACTCTTTAGATTATTAAGAGTAGAAGTAATAGAGCTAGACTAAAATAAATTTAAATAAGAATTAATAATAATAACTTTTACTATAAGATCTATACTAGAAATAAAGAAATTTATAATACTTAAAATTAGAGTAGTACTAGAGGTTAGAGAACTATTATCTAATATTAGAAAAATTAGAATATTAAAGTATATTATCTTAGCTTAAGCTTTCTTAATAGTAGTATAATAATAATAAATACTTAATATAGAAATTAGATTTTTTTTAGAACTATTTAACTAACTTAATCTAGTCTAATACTTAAAATTAATACTAGGTATAGATAGAATAGCTTTACTTATAAAAGAAAAGAAATAGTAATTATAATAATTTAGGCTAGATTTAGTAAAGGGCTTAAGAGAAGTCTAATATAAAGTATTTAATTATTATTTAGTAAATATATTAATAGTTTTACTTAGAGATATATCTTATAAGATAGAATTATTATTTTAAACTTTTAGTAGACTACTAGCTTATAGAATTATCCTATATAAATAAATAACTATTAGTAAAAAGTTTAAAATAAAAAACTTATATATTATTTTTAGAATTCTATTACTTACTATAATCTAGGTAAAATTTATAGTTTAAATCTTTTTTATACTATAAATAATTTATATAAGTACTCTAAAATAATATCTAAATTATATTATTTAAATTATATTATTTAAATTATATTTATAAGATATAATATATTTAAAAAATATATTAGAATTTATATATTACTTATAACTAGGATCTATAGTAATATCTTACTAATAGAGAATAATAGCTAATTACTAAGAAGAATTAATAATTAGCTTAATTAATAATTTACTACTCTTACTATAAGATTATTTAATATTATATATTATATCTAGAAGGGTAATATAGAATTTATCTTACTTTATTAATAAGAAAAAATACTTCTCTATTACCTACTTAATAGTATTATAATAATTAGGAATAAGTATCTTTAAATTAGGAATAGAAATATAATAACTAAGAAGTTATAAAAGATAAATATACTTTATAAAAAAGAGAGACTATAAAAGTCTATTAATTTAAATAAATAAAAGCTAAGCTAGGGGATCTAATATTAAGACTTAATTATAAAATATCTTATATATTAARTAAGAAAAATTAAGAATATTTATATCTARGCTATAAGGATCTATATTATAGGRTAGATAGTCTATTAACTAGGTAAGAATTARTAATAATAATTAATAGAAAAGAATAATARAGAGTAGTARATTATTTTATAATAAAAYTAATCCTTATCTTCTTAAATATTAGATAAGRGGAATACTATTTATCTTTAYTATCTATCYTAGATATATTTAGTAATRATTTAAAAGTAGCTTAAGGTATAAAAATAGRAGGTTAAAAATAATTAGRATATAAGGGGTAGCTATATAATTAAGTAGCTAGGCTATAGCTAAGCCTTTATATAGGCTATATATACTAGTAGTAAATACTTACTTATTTATCTATATTTATTAGTTAATTCTATCTTTATTAATTTAATTATTTATATATATATATAAATAATAATATTTATTATAATTCTTTATATAGTATTTAAGAATTAYTAATTACTTAGATAACTTACTTATTAATATTATTAAGTAAGGGGATCTAATTATATCTCTTATATATTAGATAAAAAATATACTTAGTTACTACTATAGTAATTTTAAAATAATAATATAAAGAATAATTTAGTTAATTCTATAGATTATTAATAAAGAATAATAATATCTAAATACTAGATTTAGAAATTAATATCTCTTAGTAATAATTATATCTATATAGTTATATTAATAGGTACTAACTAAGAACTCTATARATAAAGTTTAATTTAAGTAGGGAARRATATAATATTAATARTAGATATATAGCTTCCYTAAAGCTATATTAGGTATATAATAATATCTAGTAATTATTATCTCTATTTATATAGTTAGATTAGATCTTATATTTATTCTTAGCTTAGATTAAAATATAAAAGATAACTAGAATCTCTTAAAGTAAAGAAGATATATATAGAGTAGCTACTAGCCTACCCCCTACCCTTATACTCTTTAAAGACTCCACATCCTTAATAACAATGAAAATCCCAATATAATATATCTATAAAGGAATCTATTTCTTAAAGGTCTATTCTTAATAGTCTATAGGGTATAGATTAATTTAGTTTCATTATAGATGCATTCATACTACTAAATAGGTTAGATTAGTATATAATACTTAGGTAAATAGCTACTATATAGGCATCCTCTATATCTAGATTCCTTTATTTCCTATAGATATATTACCCTCTATTATTATACTATACCTTAGTAATATATCTAGGTATAATTAGGCTAGGGACTATCACTAGCAAGGTACCTCTATATAAAACATTTATATCTAGAGGCCTTAAGTTTAAACCTAATTAGACCTATTTAGAATAAATCTTTTTCTATTCTAGACCTAGATCCTCTGTACTAAGGCCTCCTACCTAGCTATATTACTTACTATATAAAAAAGTATAGATATCTATATACCTTTAAGAGGTGTTATATTAGTATATTAAGTTATCACAGGCATACTATGCCTAGGCATGCTAGCAGTGATATTTAATTATCTACTAGGTACCTAGATATCTTGCATAGGTGCTTTACTAACTAGACTACCTAGTAATTAGTTAAATATTAAAGTTTCTTAGTTAAATATCTGCCTCCTACTTTACTCCATAGCCTGCAGGCCCTAGGCAGTTGAAATAGTATATTATTATTATCTATAACTATAATAATAATTACTAACTAGGTGGTGTGTGGCTGTAGTGGCGTGGTAAGAGGTATTAATAGTAAAAATTCATTTTGGCTAGTTTGTATAAATAATGTAATTCCCAACTGAGTTGGACACCCTAGCGAGCCGGACACCTCTGTATTCCATATAAAATGGCACACTTTAAGGCCGTGATATCTCAACCATGTCCATATATGCTATAATGTAAGTAAGATATTTAGACTATATATAGATTAAAGTATATAAATACTCTTTTATAAGGCCCTAAAATGCTATTCCTCTCTCTTAATATCTAAAAATTTAATATTACTAAAAATATAGATGTAATTTATGTTACCTGAGTATTCACATAAACTAGGAGGCTATAGGTTATAACTATAACTCTATATGACTATACTAATACCTCCTACCTAAACTTAGACCCTGTAGATGCTTGGTTGTTGAGATGTTAAAGCCTTGATGTGTGCCATTTTATATGGAATACAGAGGTGTCCGGCTCGCTAGGGTGTCTGACTCGGTTGGGAATTACGTTAGTCCACTGTATGAATGACTCAGCAGGCCCACAAAGCGCCACTAACTTGCTTGTGGATACAGAACCCGAGATATTAAGGTACACATATATACCTTGCCTTCGCTCGCCTCCAAAACACTTGTCATTCCACATCTGCATGACACTACCATTTCTTTATCTTTCTCTTTCCCCGTTGATGAAGAATATTTTTATACATTACGAGTCCTACTTCAGTGAATTTGCGGCGACCAGCGTTCAAGTCATATTAATTGCCAAGCTATGGACGACGCTGTTCGTCCGTGCCAAATAGCTTTTGACCGACTTCTTTGCGAGAGCTTCAGACTTTGGTCGTCTTACCTCGATGCCGCTGAAACTACATCCCTACTTCCATTTGAGTGTATTGATCTGAAAAGGCTTCTGAAGCGAACCCCATCCTTCCTTGGAGGCGAGCTGGTACCCGATGCCGCTCAAGTTTCCTTTAGCTGCGAAGAGAAGGAATTCAAACAAGGGGATTATGCCCTCCTTGCCAGGGGTCGCTCAATGTGGTCGACATCTAAGGGGAGATGCTCCCTCGAGCCTAAGGCCATGCTCCTTGACCTGTTATTGGGGGTACAAACTCCACTAGCTGTGCACGTCTCTGACTGCGCCCCGTTAGCAGAGTGGCCTGGCGTACAAGGCATCTCGTATCATGATGAAGGCAATTATCTCACAGTTTTATTCCTTGCCTGGGCCTATATATTATCGGCACGATGGGCAGAATTGCTCAAAAAGTCTCCCGATCATCTTTGCAGAATCAGGGTTACTGGTGATACATATCCTTCTGCGGCACCGAACCAACATTGTGACGTTGAGATGAACTTAGGAGCTGATACAAACGACGATGAAGCTAGTTGGTGGAAAGCTATATTATCACCGGGGCCCGGCTGCGAGATATCAACGGTCTTTAACCAACGGACATACCTCTCTCCATGGTCCGTTCTCATCCCTAATGGTGTGCGCATCGCTGTTGCCGGTGATCCCTCAGTTGCGAGCCATGATCCACCATCATCCACCACTGCTCTTACGTATCTGAGCCGCTTTTGCAATCATCATCGGCTCTATGGTCAATGCTCCGCTGCTCTATCTGCAGCACTCTATATACCATTTCTCAGTGGAAGTTCGATATCACTGCCCACGCCGAAACCGATACCACGACCCCATCCAGCCACGAACAATGTCGACACTCTGCAACCTTCGACCCTTGTTGCGGAGCATTCTCGTTTTCTCGGTCAATATATGACATTGAGCTCCAATGGGTGGGGTTTGCGGTCTGTGCTCTGCGGCACCTTTTTCAATGCTGATATTGAATGTAACCTTGTCAGCGCTTGGCTCAACCCTGCATTTGCAGTACTTGATCCGCTTATAGAAGAAGATAAAGTGCCTATGCTTACCAAGATTCTCACCAGTCGGCAGCCCAACTTGGGCAGCTTGTGGCTTGGTGCGATGCTTGCGGGCATTGCTAAGTCCACACTGAGGGATATCCGGACCGGGTTGACAGCAATAGACCTTACCGCGGCTGCCTGGACTGGGACTGATCAATCATTCATCACCTTGGAACCTGGTGTTACTGGCGGAGAAACGATCCGTCGCGAGGACGAGTGTCGCCTTTTATTCATCACTAGCACGGATGGATATTCTAGGGTACCTATCTGCCCTTGGAAGCCTTTCGGGGAAACGCGGCTGTGTGACGCAGAAACTACAGTGCAGCAACATTCCTGTTGCGGTTGTCATTGCCTTACTTACATCTCCTGGAAATGGAGTCTCACAAGTGGTGACGATATTGATGACCCTGGTACTGGCGTCATTGCTAACGGTAGGAACCAGACCGGGGACAACAATGGGGAACGATGTATTAAAACTCCGACCAACCACGAGCTTTTTTCGCAGTCACTGTCAGAGACTGCGACGCGCGGAATATTTAGCTGGTTACGGTCGACAGGCTACCCAGCCAATGAAAAGCCTATATACCAACACTCATGGATCGATCTTGAAAGCTCAGACGAAGAAGAAATGGACGACATTGACTCTGATACTGCGGAAGGACCTGACTACAAGCATTCTGTCGATGAATGGCTTGGTAAGGTTCAATGAATGCAACCATAGCTAAAGCGTCAGGTCGATCATTTGCTGGAAACCATCCGGTCCTCCAGCGGGGTGGTCCTGGCACTTGGAACAAATAGCGTATTTTCCAGCGATTCCGTGGTCACCAGTCTGGCAGATCTTCCACTGCTTTCGACAACCAGCTTCCTTGCAGGTGAACCGATTGTGCCCATCGTTCCAGTGGTTACATTTCGCATTCCTACAGGAACCAGCCTGTCCAGAGCTTGCTGTCATGTTTGGCAGTATTTGCGCGAACCGAAAATAAAGCGACGGACGAATGTGAACACTGTATTTCTCTGTCACTGGCGGATGGAGGTAAGGCTTGGAAGCAACGTAGGTAGAGGATTGGCAGATTATCAAGAAAAGCACGAGTATGGGATTTGTAATGAGGAAGACAGACATGACCAGCGAAGGCGCGGGTATTTATATTCTCCCATCACTATCCAGCACTAGGCTTTATTTCTGTGATGTTCACAAGCTATATACAAATAACGACCTCCTAAGCGCTCGGATGGGGGAGTCTTAGGAGTTAACGTAGAGTATCCTCCAGTTAGAAACGACGAAATATGCAGGTGGTCCCCGAAGCGAACTTGGAACCCACCACTACCAGCGGGTTTTACGCGCCTTCTCGAGGCTCAAACACTAAAGAGTCGAGAGACAGGCTGCTGATCTTAGAGTGGGCGTTTGAAGTATCAAAAGGCAGGCAATCTAGGCCAGTTGTCTAGGCAAGGTTACATGTCCCTCGGCGCGTCCAGAACTCTACTTTTATAGCGCAATGCCACAGTTTGCTCAACATGTTCCTAGAAAGATACTACCACACATTAAGGTAGCCTTTGAAGAGAGATATAACTGCAGCATAGTATAAGATATAGGGCTCTCTGCTAATCATTCCTTAAAGCATCCCAAACCATAAGTGATAGAAATATAGTAGAATCATTAGTCAGCTCCTAAGTGGCATGCTAAAAGGGATAAGAGGCTTAATAATACCACTAGTATACCTTATGTTAACTTAGGATTATAATATAATAAACTTAAGTCTTACCTATATACACCTTGACCTATAGCATCAGCACACATGCCCTAATAAAGTACTATTAAGAATATACTTTATCTACAGAGAGATGAGGGAGGCATGCGGAGGCATCTTTTAAGGATGCTATCTAAGTGATTTCCAGTACAGACAGCAATCCACCTCAACCTCATTGCCCATAAGAATGCTTCAAGGCCTACTCATCTTCGATAATGAGACTGTCTAGCAACCTCAGGGCTGACCGCATACAGATCCTGGCCCACTCAGATGCCTTTCTCATTGAAATGCTTGATTTCCAGTTTCCTCTTGCATCTCCTCTGTCCACCTAATTGCCCTTCCCTGAGCTCCTCTGTCAGCGCTCCGCGTGACGGTTCGCCCACATGCAGTAGGCAAGCCTATAGATTTCCCAGCCATGCAGCACGCGAGGAAATCTTTCTTAAAAGACAGCAAAAGATCAAAAACAAACATACAACAGCCGGGATTCGCTGGTGGTCACCCACCCAACTACTAACCGGCCGGCGTGTGGCTTAAGTACGGCTGAGCGGACGGGAAGCCCTGTTTTCCACACCCTGTGGTCGTATGTGCTAATCAAGGAGATGACAGTAATCCATATGGAGATTCATGTACGTAATAAACCCAGGATTCACATCTCGACAGCTTTGGGGACCGATTCTTTCAGAAGAATCTCCACACAGTGAACTTAACATAGGTATTTAAGATCCATACAAGGGTGAATGAGCACTTACAAGTTCATAAAGGAAGTACACAAGAGAAAGAAGACAACCAGCTCCTTAGAAGTAGGAAGACAGAACTACTAGTGATATTAACTACAGGACCTTTGTCACCTTCCTCGCTCCGCGCGGTCATCTCTCTGCCGATTTCTACCTTTATCACCTTCCTCACTCCGCGCAGTCATCTCTCTGCTGATTTCTACCTTTGTCACCTTCCTCACTCCGCGCAGTCATCTCTCTGCCGATTTCTACTTCAGCGAGATCGAATCACAGGTATCCCCAGAGACCGCCGTATACGTCGTTTCGGAGATGCAGAATGTGAGGTTGTTCTTGTATGGATCTGGGAACTCTTGCAGTGGTGGTAGGATATTTGTGGGCCCGCTGAAGCCGCATTTCGAGTGCATGAACTCCAGGTCAGACTGGTAAGTCTTGTTATAAATGGAGTAGGGAGTCGCCTGCATCATCTTGTAGTGGGTGACATAGCAGTGTAAGCACAGTTCACCTTGTGGCATATTGGTGATGGTCTGGATGAACAGTGAAACCATCAATGACATCTGTAATAAATGAGTACAAATTTAACAGTCAGTCAGCCATGTTCTCCGCAGCTACTTGAAGGAGTTTAACTTACCGCGACAGTATTTCCCCGTGTCGGGGTCTTGACACACGTCTCATTCCATCCAGCCCAAATGATACCGCCGGGTTCGGACAGGACAACACGATCATCCTCCCGGGGGCAGGCGACTGAGACACTCTCGAACCATGCTTGGAGAGGCTGTCCGCAGGTTCTGTCGCACATTAAATCAGTCAATGTATCGTTGTGCGTGGGCCCTCTCCATTGTAAGGCCTTGAGCATTTGCACTTGATCATCACATCCGATCAGACGGGTCAGAGATGCTTTGCAGGTAGACGAAACGCCGCTCAAGACATCCTGGTCCTGTTCATCGTCCCACAGGTAGAAGCCGGGGAATTTGCGCTTTCCAATGGCCCCAGTTCCGGTGTGGAGCCAAGCCAGGAGAGATGAGGTATAGCCATTCCGGACATCTCGGGAATAGAGTGGGACTTCCCCTGTCGGGCTGATAGATTCCACAATTGCTTTGGTGACAAGATTGTACACCCAGGTATCAGTGCTCTGCTCAACGTAGAAGCCCCGGTCCTGATAGTTGCCGGTCTCGACATAATCCTGCATATAGAACGAGAACCAACTGTAGAGGCCTAAGATAGACTGTTAGATCCATAGGTATGCACGTAACACAATGGCAAACGCGGGGGATGTCCTACCGGATCCTAGCATATAGACAGTCGAAGAATCGATGACTCTCACAACCCAGGCCATGGCACAGCCAGCTATATTGTGGCCACAGTTGGCGACATCAGGGTCATTGGGAAACAGGCCGGGCTTAAAAGGCTCTGGCGCCGCAGGAAGCGGTTGGAAATATGGCGTTTCAGTCTGGATCATTCCCATCACAATATTCCGCGCTCCCGAAAGCTGATATTGGTAAAGAACATTATGTTCGGATGCGGTGCCGTACATCCACGTCGGTCCGTGGCTCTCAACCAAGATCCATCGAGCAGAAAAAACATCGATTTGATCTTGGGACTTCACATCGAGATCATGGTCTGCTGTCCATGCCCACACGTTTTCCAGATAAGCAGAAGCAGAAGAAGTGGTACGGAGCAGTAACAAAGCAGCTATACAGCCCAAAGCCCCCTGTATCACTCAGTACCTCATTCCCTCCAGCGAGAATATCCGCCATGATGGCTTTCTTGACGTTGTAGAACCCAACATTCTCCAAGAGGAATGCGGTGGAATTGTCACTGTACAGCGACGTCAAGACGCCTGTCAGGGTGTTCGCGATCGAGGCGTCAACAAGGATAATTGAACCACGCCCTGGCCGTTGCTCATCGGGCCGCCTGCCTGGTAAGACAGTTTTATTGTTAGCATCTCATTACTGTGAGGTCGAGAAACAGGATGCACTCATACCACCAGTGACGATGATTCCTTTTTGGCAGGATTCAATCAAGACGTCCTGCATGGTCCATGCCCAGTCCCAGTGGATGTGAAGGGCAGTTTTGCAATTAACAAACACGAGATGCTGTGTGGTAAATTGCTGGTTCCCGAGATAAGCACTATTCAGCTGACGGTAAGCACTCGAGCAGAGGTTGAAGCTGCACTACGAAAAATAGCACACACCCAAAGTTTCCGCCAACAAAAGTCAGATTGCTCATGAAGCCCACACTTCCATTTTCCATGTAGATCCCCTACAAGAAGGTAAACACCGATATGTTCCAGCAGAAGACGGGATCTGACACTTCACACACCTGCTGGGTTGTGCCCGCATCTTGAGACATGTATAACTCAATATTCTTGAGCGAGGCCCCCTGAGCCACCTGCCATTGAATGACACAGATGTACGCAGCGGGTCAGTACGGGTGATGTCCATCTTGAAGTTGTGAATGTTTCGCAGAAAATTGTTTGTGTTGAGGTACCTAGTTCATGGGAGCTGGGGGTCGACGTAGGAACATAAGACGGTGGGCATCTATTTCAGAATCTTACCATTCCTGTTGGTCTCCAACATAGACATCGGATGTGATCACCCCTAGACCGACAAAACTGGCGGCTGCGAGAATCGTTGGATAATTGGTGGGCTATTGTGGCAGAGTATCAGGTCAGATTGGGCTACCTGATGAAGGGGAAAGCAAGACTGTTCGGCAACTTACATCACCAAGAAATTGGGTATTATAGTACTGTATGATTGGACTGCTGACAAGATAGGTGCCGGGAGGGAAGTAGACCATAGCAGGGAAGATTGTGCTTGAGCCACAGTCGGCACCGCATCTCCCGCCATCGGAAATTGCTTTATCGATAGCGGCTGTATTTCTTGCATGAGCTGGTCATTCCTCCTTAAGATCAATTCTCGGGTCACCTGTGATCTTACTGGTATCGTCAGTCAGTCCGTCCCCTGCTGGGCAAAATGTTAGCATTCATTCTGTGCGACTTGGGAGAGCGCGATCCAGGTGCTTACCCTTGGCACCATAGCCCTTGACATTACTCCACCCTATATACATGAGCGAGCAGACCAACCTTGTATCCTCCCGGGGCGTAAGGGCTAGTGCCGCGCTGATCCATGTTGGCCATCCAGTAATCGGATCCCAATATGGTCCTTCTCTCCAGCGTTTGTTCGCCACATGAATCGGGGCTTCTTCGTCGGCGAATGGCGCATACTCCAGCAATCCGTCTGGGACTCGTAGGCTCTGGCTGGCGACGTTTGTGCCATTGCCCTTAAGGCCACACTTGGCTTACATCTTGGCTGCAGAGGCGCTTTCTTTCCCAGATGATGGTGAAGGAGGAGTGGATTTTGCAAGTATGCGGGCAGCTTCAGCCAGATCTGGAGAGATGGAGTACGCGAAGCTCTTGCTCTCAGGTCTTGATGAGTTATCTCTCTTTCTCCTGCTGGGAGTGTTGACACCATACTGCCAGACATGTCGCTGTGCTTTCTATTATGGATTATGGAGTATCAGGCAGCAGACTAGAACAGGGGCATCACATGACTAGCAACAGCTGACAGCTACTTCTGTATCTTAGAAACACATTTATCCAGTTTGACTCTTGACAATTTTCCCATTTTCAGTACCAACGGCGACACAGCTGCCCCTTGGTATATCTACTAAATTTTATCATTTTATCTTACTCATTTGTCATTCTGAATCCGGGATTCAGTTTGAGTCCGAAAAAGAGTGTCCAGACAGGTTTTATTACTCTTGTTACAGTGCTCATGAAGTCTCCCACAACCTCATCTTTTGCCTAGTAGAGGTGATGTCATACTCGCCGTCACGTGATTGTCGAACCCACCATCAGTGATCGAAGCACAATCAAGCAATCCACAACTGTCCACCACTCCACCTTGCACTTTGGCGTCTTGAACTCTTGGTATTTATTGCTCCAATTGACTTATTCTAAAAGTTGTCATGGACTGCCTTCTACAGCCACTCCATGTCTAACTAGCCTCGCCGACCATAGTGAGGAGAAGTCTTTTCACTCTATCCATCTATCCATCTATGTTCACTGCGAAATCAATACACAGCATATCTTACGCTGCTGACTGACTGTAAGTTGCAGTAGACAGCATCTACCTTATCCAGGGGTGTTCTGCCGCTGCTTCTGTCATTATAATTACTCATCATCTACCTAAGGACTCCAGTGCACCTTCCATTTGTACAAGGAGGCTCAAGAACCTCACTTAGGCAGGAACATTCCGTGAAAGAGGAAACGACAACACCTCGTGTAGTCAAAACACCCTTGACTGTACCTTGACTGTATGTCAAATGTCCTTCAACTATCGTGTCAGGAAGAGAACTAAAAATGGCAGATCCTGCACGAGACCGAATCCTAATGCCTCCGCCGTCCTCCCCCGTGGTACACGCAAATCCCGCTCTGTCAGCTTCTATATCAGGCGCGTCATCAAACAAGTCTAGCGCATTTTCAGACACTACCAAGTTACAAGTCAAAAAAATACATGGGGATACGTGCTGGGCGTGCGGTAATGTGTCACCTCACATTTGCTATGTTGTGGCACAAGAAGATAGACAGGTAGGCAAGACAATATCATATTATCTCGGTGTTGAGATGATAATAACAGTTTGCAGGCTCCGCTTTGGAGTGAACTTGGGCTCATAGACTTCCCAATAAATTCATATCTGAACGCAGTTCCTCTTTGCCCGACTTGCCACAGCCAGTTTGACTGCTCCATCGACCCGGGTTTGGTTCTTATGCCACTAGACCTCGATTTCTTCATCAAGTTTGAGATAATGGACAGAGACCGCTGCAAGAAAGCAGCTGAGGAGGGGTTTCCCTCAAGGCGAATGGCCCCTACTTTTGAAGACTACAAGCAACATCAAGTCAAGCAGGGTATCATCACCGCCAATGCTATTGGCGGGAAGTATCTACCTATATTCCTCAAATCCTATCTGCATGTTGGTCTACTTGATTTCGACATTACCGAAGCAAATGAAGCATTTTCAAAACCCAGAGAGTGGCACGGCGCCCCCATGGCTTCTATTCGCAGGTGTATCCACGCACTTGGTAGCCCCCGTCTTGGCATGAGGAACCCGGCAGCTTACCATAAGCTGCAGCGCCTATATGAGCTATACTTTTGCAATAATGATAACTCCTCTCCATTGTCCAATACTTTATCCGACCACCCAACGCAATCCGGAAAGAAACGCCAGTATGGTGATTCCACAGGTGAGCCTCATTCAAAGAGGCACCAAGGCCCTCAGGCAGATAGTGGGAGTTCTAGCCGAGAAACTACATTCTGTCCGACCCTCCAACGAGAAGTGCGTGCGTATTGGACCCTAGGACCAGATGTTTCGGCCGAGGAAGCGGTTCGTCAGTTTGCACCTATTCTTTCTCAGTCGCTCAGAACTACCCATGCTTAAGTCTTGTAATGGCGTTTGAGACTTCTCATACTCCGTCTTTGGTCGACCTATTGTTCTCTGATCGTTCCCTCCGTCCTGATGGTATCTGGCGAAGGGTGTATGATTGGTGAGACTATCTAGGGCGGATCGGAAGGCGCCCGGACGCTGTCCACGTCCGGCAGGCAGATGTTCATGGTGGATGAGTTCCGAGATACAGGAAGGCCTCTGCTTAGCGTCCTAGCAGATCCGAATAGCATCTTCATTAAATCTCTGGCAAAGTTCAGAAATTGTTCAGTATACGCAAATATCGTTAACGACTGTTTGACAGCTTTCTTCATGACCGCTCTCTTGACGACGAACCCATTCCAGGACCTAGAGAACATGGACGTCAACTATGTGAACGGCTATGCGCCGGTTGTCATTGATCCTGATAATTACTTCTGCCTGCGAGAAAATGAGAGCCGCCCTTATTCATTTCTCAAGTTCACCCTATTCCTTTTGACAGAATTCATTCTGAAACTTGGTTTCGGAATGAGTATAACAAAAAGCAACTTTATTCTTCTCTTCTAGTATCAAGGCTTCAGTTTGTAATGGAAAATGCATGTCCTGCTTTTTCCAGCCTGGGCAGCCTATTCTTTTCGAGTAGAATTCATCTTGAAACCTGGCTTTAGGATGAATGGAAGAAACTGCTATCGCGGAATTCGATTTATTAACTACGTTCAGGTTGTATAGATAGGATGAAAACAAATTTGATTCAAGTCATATGTAGACTATTGAGAGAAAATCATTCTGTAGTTACATGTAATAGTGCTGTAAATGGCTCGAATCGGCATGCAGATTGTAAAGGAAAGCAGGAGTGCAAGACAGCAAGTTGAAGAAAGTCTAGAGGAATGACTTCTCAGAACACAAACGCGTGTTCGGTGAATCTACCCCTCTCTGTCTCTATCAACAGCTTATAGCTGAGCTGAATAGATGCACGGGCGGCCATTCTCCAATTAAGGATCCATTCCCATGCCTTGTTCCTATCTTCACCTAAGAGAATCTTGATCTCTTCTTGTACTTCAGAATCCAGATAGGAGCGCCGGCCCAAGATAGCATCTGATAATGGGCTAATGCCCTGTAGGATGGGTGCATTTTCAATGAATTTTACCTCTTGCAGTGACTCTTCTCAAATATCTAAAGGGATCGGCTGCCTCTCCAAGCGGAGCTTTTGGAGTGTCTCAACTACCTCCAGCTTGCTGCTCAAAGCCCCTTTTGATAGCTCTATTATCACTGGCACTGGGAGTAGAGTTGGTCTAATAACCATAGCAGTGCTCAGCGCGTAACTCTCGAATGGAAGCAAAGTTGCGCGTTGGCAGATGGTAGGAGGATGCCATCATGGGATGTGACACTTTCCACCCCCTGCGGGAAGGCAAGAAGTTCGGTGTCAGACCAGAAAAGGGCCTGTAAAAGCCATAAAACGGGGTCACTCTCCGCCAGCTGCTGGAAGAGTGCGAACTGGTAGCTATCCAGCTGCTTTCCATAGTGGTGCTCAAAGCGTTTCAGCTCAAGCAGTGCGCAGGTAGTCATTGGCGTCTTGTTGACGAATGTATGATCCCACCAATCGTAGATATGAATCCCTTGAAGGGTTTTCTCTGTTAATGCATGTTCGGGATCGATGTTGTTGAAGGCATTGAGACGATTCCATAAGTCTTTTATAATTCCTAGTTTACGGGCGGCCTCATCCTGAATCCGGGTTTCAGGATGATGAGCAGACGGGAGAGGAAGGCCCACACGCGACCCTAAATCCTCATCCTCCCAGTCGGACGCCCCCTCAACCAGGCTGTCTTTTCTTTTGACGGGGTCAGTAATAGCAGGAATAGGTCCAGCTGACTTTTCCAGAGCGCTTGGTGCCGCTGTGGGTTGTGCTTGAGCAACTGGTACAGCCACATGCGTAGCCGTCTCTCCTTTTCGTTGGGAGATGTTCTCTCTGCTTGGGGTGAACACTGGTGCCTTTTCCCTCTTCCGCTTTTGGCGCTGTGTGCTGGTAGGCTGGGTTTGCAGGGTCATTGGGGCACCTGAAGAGGACCCAGTCCCCGTGGATGGGGCTGGAGCCGCTGAGCCGGCGGCCACATCCAAGGCGTCTGTATGAACGGCTGTTGGTTCTTCGGTATCTCCATCCCCATCTGCTCCGATTCGGGACTGTTCTGGCTGTGGCATTACCTGGGAAGACTCGGCCAGTCGCTTGCGCAGCTCGTCTGCAGCAGACTGCCGGGTCATAGATGATTCCCGGGTAGCGGTAGAGAGGACAGAGTGATCCCGTGCTGGTGATCCAGCCGCATGGCGTTGTGGTGGGGATGCATCGCTCAGGTCCAAGGCTCGGGTTGCTCTTCCGCGCGGAGATCCTTCTACATCCACATTGGGAACAGTTCTGGGCGCCGCGTCAGCAAAAGGGGTTCGGGCGAGTTGCGCGTCTTCGAGTTCCGCATCTTCCTGTTCTGCGTCCGATGACAAGTCTGAGAGATCCTCTATGATCGCCTGAGGTAGTGACAGCTGGGGCTCGGTAGACGCCCACTCAAAGCTAGGGCCGGCAATGGGAGCTTCAATGGTCTCAGCCCCAGTGCTGAGCAGCCCCATTGCATTCCTCCGGATGCCAAGCTCAGCAAGAACCTCGCTGGCCACAGGGGGGCGGCTGGGGTCCTCCTTGTAGAGGTTGATGGCCGTCTGGATGTCTACAATGCCGGGATCAAGATATCGGGACTTTCCACGGCCCACGTGCTGTAGCCGTTGGACTAAGGCATGAACTAGATAGTCCATGGCCTTGTCGTAATCTGTACAGACCGTGGCCAAGCGGCCGGCTGCGCCGCGCCAGCCTTGGGCTGTGTTGATGCCCAGAAACTCCGCTGCTTTCGCCTCTCCCCATCTATTGATGACCTTCTTCGTGGCTGCATTACAGGCTCTTTGATTCTTTGCTGTTGTGTGGACAGCCTGTTCAGCCTTAGACCATATGTGTCGGTTCTTCTTCCTTATCTTCGCGAAATCGGCCCCGAGGGTGTCTTTGCCCACGGACCATAGGTGTATAAGGAAAGTGTTCCTTATAAGGTCATAGTTTTTCACCGCACGATTCCCTTCGCCAAGGGCTTCATGGAAATGCTGTACGTATGTCTCCTTTGGGAGTTCCGCGGCCCAAGTCCGCAATTGCGCAAAAATCTCTTCCGGTGACGAAAAGGTGCATCCGGTGACGACAAGTGGTCGTCCCATGGGATTGTCCGACGATGTGGAGATAGCTAGGTCACTGTTATGAGTGTTCAAGTTAGCTCTGGTACTTGCTTTTAGGGTGCGTACTTGTAACACATACCTCATTCTGGTGATGAGTGAAATGCAAGACAAGAGAAATCCTCAACGAGCTTCTGGATGTGGTAGTTGACTTATGTATGAATGATATGCGGCATTAGTAGAGGCGTCCGTGATAAGAGAAAGGTGAGCTCTCACACAAGGGTGGGGGGTGAGCTGGAAGGTGGAAGGTGGAAGGTGAGTAAGACTGAAGTGGACGATTGAAGAAAGATGAGGTGAAGGATCAAGAAACTAAAGCACCCTTAATCGGAGTAAGAGGATTCGAAATGATATGGAATATGGTGCAAATTTGCCTTGGGGAAATCTCAAGTTGGTGTTTGCGAAGTCGAGAGGTCTGTAGTTTATGAATACCTCATGTCAAGAAGAAAGTCTGGCTCTGTGGAGGTTTTCTTTCTCCAGCTTTGATCCAGGTGAGCATATCCAGTCTGATCAATACTCAGCAGCAAGAAGTGAAGGCTAGGGACTCGGGATTTTGAATTATACCAGGTATGAGAGCTAGGAAGGCATTCTCATTATAGCACTGTATTCTTAGGAAGCCCACCAGACACAACCTTTGGTTCTGCCATTGCTATTTTAAACCTATGCCTTCCATACAGCTCTAATAGATATAGTCCTGTCTGATGATGGGAGTTGACATCCTGAATCTATCTTTAAAATGAAACCCTGGGTCACTGGTATTTATTAGTGTTATGCTTCATACCTCATGCTGCACGGTACTTATGAATTACATGACTTAAGTTAGGACCTTTTATCTCTACTGCATGCTTTAAGTCTATAATTTAAGTCACCACCTCCTTTAGTGGGAACCGCATGTCCTACAAGGAGATTTACCTCATTCTGTCTTATATTAACTATATGCATGACCTGCAAGGCATGTCTGATTCCACCATCACTAAAGCTAAATTCAATATCCTTATAATAGCCCATCCATAACCCTATTTACCTGAGATAGTGTGCTACACATTCTGCATCTAGAAGTTTAGACTCCACTATTACTGGTCATGTGAGTCATTACTTATTCACATCATTAAGATCTTTTCACATACAGTGACTAGATGGGCTTCTCTCACAGGATAAGGATAACCTCAAAGGCCACACACCAGTAGGGCCAGCCGCGCTGGGCAAACACTAGATATCATGAGAAATATCAGAACACAGAACATTGGGCGTCAGGACACGGGATTCCACCAGTATATCCACATTGTAAAGGCCCCAGCTTAGATCAAACAGCTATCAGGGATTGCTGTTAGATACACTAGATGGGAAATAGGACAGATTAGTCATGGTTAACCTGCTGTACTGCCATGTCACAGAGTGTGGTTACAGGCTTACGGGCAGGGGAGGTATAGGCATGGAAGTACATGAAAATGTGAGGTTTTAGGGGCAATGGGTGGTTGAGGAGGGTTGACAAACATGGGCCTGGGACATTTCAGGGCAAAGGAGAGTCAGACAAAGGGCTATTGTAAGAAACCTGGCGATCCACCCTGAAAATCAAGCAGAGTTGGGGATAAAAGTGAATATAGAGGAAATTATATATAGCCAGGGTAAGAACCATAATAACATCTCATCTCTTCCAACTTCCTTTCCTCAAAGCCCCTCCTATCCCTTGGCTGACCCAACTGTAAGAGCACCTAGGGAATGCTCGTAGATCAGTGTACATAGTGTGGTAACCGACCCCTACTAACGTAATTCCCAACCGAGCCGCCACTTTTCCCATTCGATTCCAACGCGTTCAATTCGAAGCTATTCAAACAGCTACTATGCCACCAAAATCGCGTCAAACCTCTGGAAATTCAGTGGAGCAAGAGGGAAGGATCCAATTAGCAATATCTGCTTTAAAAAAAAAAGGGAATTCCTAATATCCACCGCGCCGCAGAGATATTCAACGTGCCTAGATCTACCCTTTGTGACTGACTCTATAGATGCTAGTATCAAATTAAGAAATGCGCCAATGGCCATAGGCTATCTCCTACGCAGGAAGAATCATTAGTGGAATAGATACTATCTAGGGATTCACGTGGAGTGCCTCCTAGGCTATCTTATATGGAAGAAATAGCTAATATCCTTCTCCAGGCAGATGGGCCCTCTGGATTTAAACCTATTGGTAGGAACTGGGTCTCTACCTTTACCAATTAGCATGAGGAGATTAAAAGTTAATATACTTGACAATATAATCATAGCCAAGCTCAATGTGAGGATCTAAAGATTATTAAGGAGTAGTTTAATAGCCAGTTAAAAGTTGCCTCATAAACTTGACAAACATAGATACTTACAAAAACCAGATGAGTATTGATTGTTCATACTTTTCATGAGTTGCTGGTGCTAGTTTTGGGTGACTTATGATATTTTCCTTCTTTTCTTGCTTTTTCTGATAGTCTAGAGTAAAGCCACGTGACTTTGCAAGCTTCTGGTTCTCCTTATGTATGCCCTTCTCCTTCTCTAGCATTTTTTGAAATTTAGTGTCTTGGAAAGCCATGGTCATAAAAGGTCACGTGCGCTGGGGAAGTCGAAAGATCAAGTCAGTATGAATGAATTCAGTGAGGATAAAAATCAAATCTATCCCTCGGGGCGCAGAACTCATTAAATCTCTGCGGTCGACTGCTGAGTTGGCCTTCATCACCCCTCTGGAGCCCTCATCACCACTGATGAGCTATCATCACCAGGGGTGATGAGTTCTCACCCACGTCACCAGCACTCATACTAAAAGCATCATGCCGCCGCCTTAGAGGCAAAAGGGCTTTCCGGCGATTGACCACGTTCTACAATGGGCTTAAGTACGGCTGAGCAGACGGGAAGCCCTGTTTTCCACACCCTATGGTCGTATGTGCTAGAACTGTGGGATCCGCCAGTGAAAAAGGTCAGGCTGGTATTATGTGTTGAGGTCCGAAGGCAATAATGGCCTAACCATAGAATATCATAGGTGCAGGATTGGAACGTAGCTCGAGGCGTGGCCAAGTTAAAGGATAATCCCAGTGGAAATGTGTGAGTTCCCGGTCTGGTGTCTGTTGTCATGATATACCTCAGATACAGGCAACCAAGGGGATTGCAATGTTATCATCATTTTTCTCTGCAAGATACCAAATTACTCTCCTATTAAATAACAATTTTCCCTCTGTTACATATCCATGCCTTAGGCTCACCCTCACCGCTCCGCGTTGAGGGTGAGCCACAGCGGTACCGCCAACCATTTTCGAACGAAATCATGATTTTGAGGCTACACTAGGGGCTATCTATCTAAAAAAAATGACTAGTCTCATCTGCTGCATCTGCTGATGCATTTGATACCTCATTCTCTTGTAGAATTGGTGGTGTGGTGGGTTTACCATGCACTTTCTCCCATTGCTTTTGTAAACGTCTCTCTTGCGCGGCAGCATCTTTGACCTTCCTTGAAGCAATTGATTGATTTGCATCCCGTAATTTCAATATACCAGACTGGCTAAGCAGCTTAACCTGCAGCCATAGAGGGGCCTGCGCGGCCCTGATTCGACTAATAATTTCGTTCGCCATAGCCAGGTGCTCAGCAGCAATTCAATTATGTTTAAATATCTGTTTGAGATTCCGCTGCAGCTTTGGTGTAAGGAGATCTGTATGTTTAGATAGCTTCGCCTGATTCTTCTCAAGGGCCTGAATCATCGTTGGAGGTGAGATATCAATACTAGATGAAGATGGCGGCCGAGAGGGCGTAGAGGGAGTAGTCTCATCAAGATCAGGCGCGTACTGGATCAAAGCCTCCTCCTAGCATCCCGTAAGGGCTCTATTGACTGGTTTATTAGCTACTCGAGGATGCACATGCTTCTTAACGCGATCACGTAGGGTGGTATAAGGAACGCCATATTCACGCGCAATCTTGGAGATATTTGGATTTTTTTGCACCTGAGCGGCCTTGCAGGCCTCAAGGAGGTAAGATTCATTGATTTTAGAAGATTTGGGCATATTTGGTGGTTAGAATAGCTTCAAATATTCAAAATATCAAAAATTGGCGGATTCGGTGTGGTTGGCAACTTGGCGGTTCCCCTGTGGCTCACCCTCAACGCGGAGCGGTGGTGAGCCTAAGGCACGGATACTTGCCCTCTCAATGAGATGGATTCTGGGGTGTGGTGTGGGCCGTGGCCCCTGACTAAGAGTCAACATGCTGCGAATAGAGGAACCGTTATCATCGACGCAATTTTCAACTCAAGATCGACTGTAGCACAATACCCTTGAATTGTATTTGTTCACCTAGTTTTCTTGACCAGGAATCCTGTGACTGTTTACTGGCCCCTGATATAGATAAATAGTGATCCGGTCTGGAATTTGTATATCGAATGTCTGACTGGTTGACTGGGTTCTGATCCTAGAGAACTCCGCAACAGATTCAACAAATCCCTAGTTGAATTGGACCAAGCATAGACATAAGGGATCTAGACAAGGCCCTTAAGATATCGCACGAGGCTTCTTCCCGATTACTTTGGACCTGCTCGAAAACGCACTCGCTGCCACCACTGTCCCATCCTCGTCCTCTACATGTGTATCAGCCCCATCAGTGCACGGAATCAGGCCAGGACGCGGTATATGGGGCATTCTTCTCCAAAAGACATCATTCCGATAGTCATCCATGAAAGTCCACAGTCCGGTGATGTCCAGACGCAAAAATCCTTGATAATTTTCATAGTCCATTATTCCGCCTTCGTGAAACCTCCGATCAATAAGAATCACGTATCCGGCGTCTAATCCAAACAAGAAGCTATCATCCTCGGAGGGTTCCGGGGTCTTGAGGATGGACTGGAGGGCCTTATAGTCAATCATCAGACAAAACTCGGACCGTGGAGTGCCGTCCTGGTCATGGCGAGTCATCCAATCGTCAAATAGGTGCCGGACCTAGTGGACAGAAGCACCCTCAAGGAGCTCTCGATCCTCGATGACTACATTCCTGTAACCCTCACAAATAAGCCGGATGGGTTCTGGATGCTTGAATGTCCGGCAGGATTGGAGGAAGCAATGAACACAGGCATCAAGCTTTCGCATCGCCTCCTTCCAATCGGCTTCGGAAACATTCTCATAACAAGTCCGGTAGATGAAATAGCCCCACGGCCACATGTACTCATAATACTCCGCGAAGAACCTCGCTGTCTTGTCAGCATTCCACCATGGATAGCTCTGAAAGCGGCGGTCTCGCTCTTTCCAGGGCTCGTCCGCGGGAAAGTCCGGAGAGGTCCATGGTTCTGGCCATGATTTATGGTTGAGTCAGGCGAGGAGGGCCAGGGAGAGATTTCCCCCATGTTTGCAGATTGGATAAATTGAATGCAAGACACGGATCCAAGGTGGTTGACAGTGGTAGAGGGCAGCCTACCTGTTTTATGCTCTTATGGCCGCGGCGTATCCCTGCCAGGATACGTAGCGTGATCTGTTAGGTGGCTGCTGGCCAGGCGTCAGTTGTTACTGTCTCGAGTTTCAGGCTAGGGACCAGGCTGCCCTCGTTCGTTACCAACTGAGATTTAGTAGCTTTTACTATGGGGGCTGGCAACCAACCGAATTCAGCTCTTGTAGACGGGTCGTGTTATTGATATGGGTTGATCCACCACCTATCTAACCCACCCTCATATCCATGCGAGTTGGATTGCGGATAATGTACGGAGTATATATCCATACTATCTAGCCTTACCCATGTGGAAGCATTCCAGCTCGTTAAAAGGGCCTATAAAAGATTAAAGAAGCTAGTGAATATCTAAGCTTGGGATAAGGCTTTACTGCTATAGCTCTGTCAGCTAGACTGTGTTATTTAAACTAATAGAGGTAGATGGTCAGAATACAAGGCCCTCCCCTTCTAGCCAGCCAACTACTAAATATATTATAAACCAGACACAACTGCAGTTAATGATCTCCAGGTGGCAATGAGGGGAATGAAGGTTAACCACAAGTGACTCATGCAACGATAGACATGTGCTTGCTGTAAATGGGATTTTGTTAGACTGGTTATATGATTAGTCTAAAGTAGGCTAACTGCTGGTCTCTCTCAGCATCCCCTTCATTCCCCTCATTGCCACCAGTTACAAAAGCTCTCCCCCTACTCTTAAGTACCCTTTTCCCTCTCTATTACAACCTGCTATTTTATTACATTCAAAGCCTAGTGCCTCAGCATGGCCCAATCAACAGACTCCAGAGATGAAAATACTTCTGAAAACCATTTCTTTTATCACTCCTCTTGGCCAGCACGGTGGTCGCACCTAGAATTCACTGATAGCCATACAGAGCGTTACAAGCGCTGGAGTCAGCAGCCCTGGTATAAAGATGATGATTGCTCTGCTGTGCAGCTAGTTAGTTTGGCTGATGATGAAGGCTGGCCCTGGGGCTTCTTCATCTACCGCACGGTCTACACCCCTGAGTCTGATCAGGTCTGGTCTGCCTGTCTGGAGAAAATCGACCGCTATATCCACTGGGAAATTGACCATGTTGATGGTGACTGATATGCAGGAGCTGAGGACCATGGCTTCCCTGAGAGGCTTGTCCATGAGGGGTACAAAAATGTTATCCTTGAGGATAAAGAACACTGGGATGGTGCATTAATTAAGCAGATTCATGAGGATTTTAAGAACCTTGTTGCATCTCGGGGTGCTATAATAGGGGAGGTCGTGCCTCGGTACACAGTGTGTCTGGTCATTGATCAGCATTGCTTAGATTCAATTGTGAATGCTTTTGAGGAGCCAGCGGAGAGCATGCACGGGGGTGGGCCAAGGATGGGATTTATTACTATGGTTGATCCTATGTTTGTACCAGGGAACTTTTGAGGGTTATTATGGGTTTATGTGAGTTGAGATTGACACACTTTGGTAGCTGACGGTAGAGTTGCGCTCATCATCTTTAATGAGAGATGTCTGTCCAAAGGTGCAACCAGGCAAGATACCAGTTTACAATGCTGACCTGGGTTATGCGGATGATGATCCGTCATAGACTGGACCTAGGCCGGTAACGCCCATTACTCACCGGTCCATATGTAAAGGGGACTGTCGTGAGCATTTGGGGATGCAACAATGAACAGTAGTTACCATGAGACTTAGTTTTCCATTAGCTACCAATCCAGATTTGGTCCGAGAAAGGCATACATTGAGCTGGAAGACACAAACACCTTCTCACCACCAGGGGGCGTCACATATATGTCATCTAGCATCACATGGGCAACAAGTCTGTTTTGGCCCTCGGGATCCCATTTAATAGATAACTTCTTGTTGAACTTATGGACTTACAAGCCCGAAAGGATGGGATAGTATCGTCCTATTAGGCGCCGGAAGTTCTAAAAGACTGCTGTTAGCTCTTTTGCCCACTAGTACATGGTCACAAAACAAACTGAGCCTTCAGTAAGAAGATAAGGCACGGACAGAAGGTCTGGGATGTTCAAGAGAGCCTGGTTTTGTTCACATAGGATGGCTTGAAGGAGTGCTCCATCCCTAAGAGCAATATCATTGGTAAGGATGACCAATGTGCTACTCTCAAAATGAATTATTGAGAGTTGACTGGGTTTGATATACACCTGTCAGATACATCCAACAAAGGGATTTCTGATTTCGTGTCCAAGGCGTTCTGGGGCAGGAAATTTTTTAGAAAGACATTCAATCTTTAGAATGGTGACCTCCAGGCAGCTTCATTATGCTCCAAGAAATGGGTGGTATTCTGAGGTATGATCATAAAGACAAAGGAAAAATGAAGTTGAATTGTGAGATGAATACGACCAGCAGCCGCGAATGTGGTATCTTCTTAACTAACTGATCGACTTCTGACAATATATGCTCAGGGCCAATATTCAGGTCTTAAAAGCAACCAAAGTCCAGAAGCCAGACCGTGCGAACAAAGGAAAGAGAAATATATATATAAAGGAAAGAGGGTGCGGATGTCGTCCCGCAGACGTGTGTCTGGTGCTTGACGGCCCTGGAGCCTAGCAGGGGGTTGTATCAACTCCGTGCTGCCGGGTTCCCCTCGCGGCGTATGTAATGCATACTGAACTGTCTCCTATCTCAGTGCTCATCCGGGCTTCAGGAGTTGCTGTCGCTACATCGCGCGCGAGGCTGACTGGATGACACCGTCCGGTAGAATCTCGAGGTGGGGGTATATGTGATGGCCGTTGTAGGTAGTGAGCACAGGTGCCGAGTCCACTCGGACCTTTATTCTTGCCTTTGTAGCGTCTCAAACGCATACGAGCTGTATACGATGGTCGCGAATTATTTCGGCGATGAGTACGGTGGGAGGTGGAGGTGGAGGTGGAGATGGATGTGGATGTGAACGTGGATGTCTATCGCCTTGCAGATTACGGAGTAGGCCGTGTATCAGGAGCGGTGCCGATACGAGTACGGGGATGACGTCGCCGACCGTTGAGGGTGGTCGATAGGTATTCGACGCAGCGTTTGAGATGATCTTGACTATTGTTTTCGAATGCTTTTCGTTCGAATCAGTTGACATAGACCATAACCGCAAACGACATCAGGCAGAAGCACAGCGGAATGTAGACCTTGCGATCCACATCCATATCCGTGCTAGCGATTGAGGAGGCCGAGGAAGAGGGGACGGAGCGGCTAGGGTTTCTGCGTGTGGACGATCTTGTAGATTTGTGGGCCATTTTCTAGAATTTCAAAGTATGGACGGAGTATCTGAAGTTGAAGTTATCTGAGAAGAAGAAGAAGAAGAAGAAGAGAAGGAGGGGTTATGGTGAGATGGGTTCAACGTGGCGGTGATGATCAACCCAACAACAAATTGCGGAGTGCATCCTCCGTCTCAAAACATTCATTTCCCAACAAATCATACTGGAATGTTTGGCCTTGTGATTCGATCAGCTGACTAAGGCTGTGCATTACTAAGCTAACCGAGGCAACTGACTGGCTTGTTTGTTCTTGTTTGTTGGACCAACAGGAATGGCGGGGTGAGTGTGGCTGCGGCCTTGCCCACCAGCCACAAAGTCATGTGAGAGTGAGACTTGGCCACAATTTTATGAATGTGTGCATCTCTTGGAGGCCTGGTGGTCCGATTCCGTCTTGAGAGCCCTTCTTTTTTCCGCTCTCTCAAAGTCCTAATCATATTTCGACTCGTATGTCTTGGCCACTCTTTGTGAGTTTTATTGTGTTTGAGCTTGCTCTTGCCAATGATTACAGGAGCATTCTGACTGGTTCTCTGTGTGCGGGTGATAATGCCTGTCATGTTTCAGACTTGAGCTACAGGTATCTATCCAAACGACAAACAACCAATATCTTCCTCCAGAAGACGGGTTGATCCCAGATTAAAATTCCCCTTAATCTATCTGCCCAGCCTCACAATGACCACATACAACAGAAGGACCACCTTTCATTTCCTGGGGCTGGGACTGTATCGCTTTGCAATTCCCCCATCATGATTATTATATTATTATTATTATTATTATTATTGCTGCCTTGTTATTTACGAGCTTCTCATCAGTGAGACATCCTGACGTCCTGAAATGTTATTAGCCAAGCAAGCTCTTTAATCTCGAGAGCAGTATCTAGATAGTAGATAGTGGAGAGGGATGTAGTATTATTGCGCCGAATGACCCAAACAGATCATATTTGAGGCAGCATGGGAAATTGTGCTCAGGGTCTCTCCACATGGCACCCACTTCTTGATTATTCCGTGGCTCGGGACTGGCGAGTTCGAACATTTGGTGTTCTCGGATTGCGCACTCCCTTTGATCATGATGATGGTGAGATCAACAGATCGTCTGTCGATTCCTTCTCCATGAGTTAATCTGACGATTTTATGATCCAACTTGGGATATTATCACCTGGCGGCAACTGAATCAACAATGACAATTTTTTAGGTCTGACCGACTAAAATTATCTCTGCCAGAGACATACTAAATAATATCTACTCCGTACGGAGCACCCGATACTACCTTCCACTGCACCTGCGAGTCACTTGACGGGACAATACTATTATTATTATTATTATTATTATTATTTAGTAGATACGAAGGTACTAGTTAAGACACTACGCCGTAGACTGACTAGACTAGGAGATTTTTACTTTCCGTCGATGCAACCGGGGACCTGAACCAAATCACACCCGGACTGGGAAAATCATCTTAGCGTGCTGGTGCCTGTCTGCGGCCTGAGACATCGCATCGCGGCTCAAGCAATTTTTTGTTCCATTACCGAATAGGTAACTCGCTACCCACACCACTCGCTTACAGTTGCATCTGAACTCGATTCAGCGGTTGCCGCGGTCGGTCACTCCGTCAGACAGTCAGACACACCCGGATTCTTACGTTTCTAAATTCCTTCCGGCCGAATTTGCGGACATTACAAGTCTTACCGCTCATGAAAAAGGGACCACGGCTGAGGTCGTCTCACGCCTATCATCATGGGCTGATACTGTGCAATATGGGTCCTTCTCCAGTTTTTGATCCACTGGTCCACCGGATCTGGTTGTCGGCTGGCCCCTCCATTTTCCGATCAATCACCGTCTCTGACCACTTTCATCCATGATGAAAAGCTGACCTCTGAGCACTCAGTTCCTGCCTTCGCCCCCTCGAGACTGAGACGGCACGCTGGGTCATCAACCAGGGGACAATGCTAAGATCCTGCGCTCCCAATCAGAGGCGATTCTCGGCTTGGTGGCAGGACAAAACTCGACTAATAATACCATAGCTCCGTTGCGACAACGCTACTATCTATAGTCTTGGCCGGATGACTCTGAGTTTCGATCAATCCACGGCGCACATGCTCAGCCTTCCCAGGTAAATTAGCTGCTAGCTCATGGTTTCCTCCCCTTTACCCGACAGGAACCAGCTACTATTTACTGCTGTCGATTCCCCGTCCTTCTAGCAACGTAATCATCTCATACCTCTATTCTCTGTACAAAGAGCTTCCTGTCGTTATCTGGAGTCTTGCATATATTGACTTACAGTCGTTACTTTTAAAAGTCTTAGCACATCATCATCTGGCACACAGTTCTCTTGACACAGCGCTCATTTACCCTACATAACGCAGACATGTATTTCATGTACGCAGCAGCAGCCTTGACTGCGGTGCTCCCTCTTTGCTCTGCACAGACCTGGTCAAGTTGCAATCCCCTTGAGAGTGAGTCTTCTTATTCCTGCATATGATTTATAGCAGCTTAACTAACGATTGCGTTGCAGAGACCTGTCCGTCCAACAAGGGTCTTGCCGCATCCAGTTACACTGTCGACTTCACCTCAAAGTCAGCTTTGGCCCAATGGGAAGTCACTGCAGGCAGTGTTCCTGTTGGCCCACAGGGCGCTGAGTTCACTGTGGCCAAGAAGGGTGATTCCCCCACCATCGACACCAGCTTCTACTTCTTCTACGGAAAGGCCGAAGTGGTGATGAAGGCCGCTCCTGGTACCGGCATTGTGAGCAGCATCGTCCTGGAGTCGGATGACCTGGATGAGGTCGACTGGGTAAGCCTGCTTGTTCACCTTATGTCCTCCTTTGGACCGGACTAACAAAGCGCAGGAAGTATTGGGCGGTGATACCACTCAGGTTCAGACAAACTACTTCGGTAAAGGTGATACCACAACATATGACCGCGGCACTTTTGTGTCCGTTGCCACTCCTCAGGAAACTTTCTACACCTACACTATCAACTGGACCAAGGATGCGATTACCTGGTCGATTAACGGCGCGGTCGTGCGTACTCTTACGTACAACGATGCCAAGGGTGGCACTCAGTTCCCCCAGACTCCTATGCGCTTGAGACTAGGCACCTGGGCAGGCGGCGACCCCAGCAATCCCAAGGGCACCATCCAATGGGCCGGTGGAGAGACCGACTACAGCAAGAGTCCGTACACCATGTACGTCAAGTCGGTTCACATTGAGAACGCCAACCCCGCCGAGTCCTACACCTACTCGGACAACAGCGGCTCTTGGCAGAGCATCAAGTTCGACGGGGCCGTCGATACCTCTCCTAGCCCTTCGGTGACCTCGACGACCTGCACTACCAGCGCTACCTCGAGCCATAGCACTTCTACCAGCACTCTGGCCACTACCACCAAACCGGCTGCTCAGTCCACCTCGTCCCCTGCTGGAACCAGCTCGAAATCGTCTACTGGCTCCGGCTCTACCCCCACCGGCGCTGCTACCTCCGGCTCTACCACTGGCGGCAGCGGTAGCGGCGGCGGCAACAGCTCTGGTTCTGGCTCCTCCACTAGCTCCTCCTCTAGCGCTGGAGCCTCCGCCACCGTGGCTCTCTCCCACGGCGCCGCCGGCTCCATCAAGGGTTCGTACACAGCCTCCGCCCTGGTGTTCGGCGCGGTCGCTGCCGTGTTGGCATTTTAAAGAAATGACCTTGATTTAATGCACGATACACATAATGAGCTGGAGACGTCACAACTACAGATTTTGGAATCGGGGGATTTCGCCGCTGGTCTTGCATTTGATTTCATTCTATGCCCATACCTGTACCTTATGCCCCGTACATACAACATACTACATACTTAATGAAACTACGCTACCTTTCTGGGGATCTGTTCGTTCTTTGACTTGGACACACCAACTGCGTCGTAGGTATTCCTAATTGAAGTATAATTATCGATCGTCAATCATAACAGTAATGGATGTAGCGCAGCTTCGTACAAACTCTGGCAATCTCATATACTCGTCTCGAACGTTAAGTTGCCAAGGCTGATGCTATACTATGCTATGCTTATACCAAATTCCCTTTCTTCCTTTGCAGGTTCTGCAGATCGGTATACAATCTCCGAATCAGATCAGCTACAGGCCGATGGTGATCTGTCGCCTGCCGAAGGGAGTCGGACAGATGCGTGTCCGCACGCATCTTGGACGTCGAGGTCTCGTCCTCCCCCGTACGCACTGAAGACGTCCTGCCGGTAAACGGCACGATCGTCTCGATGAACGCCCAGAGACCCTTGGCGTTGCCGCCTCTATCCCCCTTCCCAGCGGTTGTCTCGAAGTCACCAGATGAGGAAGGGTCGCGCAGCTCCCTCTGCACGATCTCCTGGATAGACTCGAGATGGTCGTCCAGCGTGGCAAAGACCCCGCACAGCTCCTCGGCCTTGGACTGCATGCGCGCCGTCAGCTGGTCGAGGTATGCTTCCCGGCGGGCTAGTTGGGTCGAAAGTCTGGCGTCCTGTGCGACGGAGCCGCTGCGGGCTCGGCCTCGGCCTGTGCCGGTGCTGTCGTCGGTCGCTGCGGTTGCGAGGAGGCTGTCCATCGCGGAGTGGATGTCTGCTTTCAGGGAGGCGAACTTGCCTGTCGCTGTGCGGGCGGCTTGGGTGCAGCCGGCGAATTCGAGGTCGAGTTCGTGTTTGGTGGCCGGGTAGGCCTTTTTGAGATTCGTGTGGAGGTCGCGGAGGAGGGACTCGGTTTGTTGCAGAGTGGGATGTAAGACGGACATTTGGGTGAGGGTCGTGTTGAAGAGGGTTTCGAGGCGGGATTGGGAGGTGAGGATGGACTTGGGGTGGGACTGCGATTGGGGGTTTGTGGATGGTGGTTGCGGGTAAGGTGGGATACAGCTCGCTGGATAGAGGGCTGATACTGTGTCGATGCTGCAGAGGGTTTGATATTGATGGACGAGCTCAGGTAGAATGAGAAGGTGGGAGATTGCCGTCATGAGGAGGAGGTTGATCAATGGTCTGATGTATCTTTCTATGCGCGCAGAGCTGGATGTTGTTCCAGAGCTGATGGGCACAATCTCGTCTTCCTGTGATCTGCGCGCTGTCGTAGAGTCTTCCAAACTCGACGCTTCAGACTCTCGCTTCTTCCCTGACCGATCAGATAATCGCTTGACTCTCCGTTTGACCGTATGCGCGGACACCGTGCGAGAGCGCAACTCCGGCATTACCCAGGAGGCTTCTGAGATAGGTACCTCGCATATTGACGGCATGATAAGCTCAGGGCCTGATATTGAAGAAGCAGACGTTGTCATCGATTGGCATCCCTTGCGCTCGTCGTCTTGATTTGGCTGTGCATTTCGATCTGATTCTTCAGGTAGATGCTTCTTTTGCAAGGATGAGGTTGACGCCACAACCCAGGACTCGCCCAGTACAGAGCTCTCTGCTGTACAAGCTGAGTCCGGAGACATGTTGAGCGTATTTGCGCTTATATTCACTTTATTTGTATGTTTCCACTCTTCGACGTCTTGGGCCGACCTTCGAACTAAGACTGCAGTGCGCCAGATGATGAGTATTGAAAACAGCTGTAATTCAACCGGCAGATATATCTATCTTGATGCCCTCGTAATAAAAAGCATCGCGTTTATGCTCTTGCGAAGGAATGCGCTTGTGTGTCGATCGAAACTGTTGTTATAGTGGGGAAGCGCACATGCCATTCGTGGACACTGGACTTCCCAATCGGGCCAATCCAGCTGGACCTCGCGTCGTGTCGCGGAAGAAAAAATTCCTTGCCATGAATCAACCAACCATGCGTCGATTATCCACTCTCTCCTGGCAGCGCTCGTTCTCGAAACGACCGGCCTTCGACAATGGTGTGAAATATTTTCGAGCGCCTAGCACGAGGCTGCAATGGCTGTCCACGACATCGTGTCGATCCTGTTCGTGCTCCGAAGCGCAGGCTGAACAGTCCCCTCCCCCAGCATCCACCGCGTCAAATACAGATTATCGAGCTMTAGGAACGGCTCAAGATCTCTTCACAACGTCTATCTACAGTCCTGGATCGCCTCTTTTTCTACCCAACGGCACCCACGTCATCAACCGACTGATCTCGTTTCTCCGCACTCAGTACCTTCAATACGGATTCCGCGAAGTTTTGACGCCGACAATCTACAAGCGTTCTCTATGGGAGGTTTCGGGCCATTGGCAGAATTACAAAGATGACATGTACGAGGTCAAAGGTCGAGGAGCCACGGGGGAAGCCGACGGAGAAACGGGCGAGGACGAATCGTACGGCCTGAAACCGATGAACTGCCCCGGCCACTGTCTCCTTTTCAAGTCGCAGAACCATTCATATCGCGAACTGCCCATCCGTTACGCCGATTTCAGCCCTCTCCACCGTAACGAAATCTCCGGGGCCCTAAGCGGGCTTACTCGTGTCCGACGATTCCACCAGGACGATGGGCATATCTTTTGCCGACCGCAGCAGATCAAGGGGGAGATCGCGTCCGCGCTGGGGTTCGTTGACATGGTGATGACGACGTTCGGTCTGGGACCATACCGTCTGGTACTTTCTACTAGGCCGGAGAAGGACTTTATCGGGAGTTTGGGGCTGTGGGACAGCGCGGAGGCTCAGCTGCGGGAAGCCTTGGACAACAGCGGGAGGGAATGGGCGATGAATGAGGGTGACGGTGCTTTCTACGGGCCGAAGATCGACATTCAACTGCAGGATCAGGCAGGGAAATATCACCAATTATCCACGATACAGCTGGATATGAACCTGCCGCAACGGTTCGGGTTGGAGTACCAAGTTGCGGAGGGTGAGGAGGACTATAACCCGGCGACTCCAGGAAGAGCGACGCCCGTGCTGGTTCACCGGGCCAATTTTGGGTCGCTGGAACGCTTCCTTGCCCTGCTCATCGAACAATATGCCGGTCGCTGGCCGTTCTGGCTTTCCCCCCGCCAGGGTATCATTCTGACGGTCAACCAGGATGAGGCGGTGCTGAAACAAGCGCAAGAAGCTGCCGCGAAAATCTCTGGCTTCCGTCCACTTGTTGCTGGCAAGGACAATGCAACTTCTCCGAAGCCTCTTTCATCCGTCGACTCGACTTACCTGATCGATGTCGACACGAGCAGCCAGACACTCGGGAAGAAGATCCAACGGGCCAAACAGATGAAGTACAATTTGATTTTCATCCTCGGGCCTAAAGATGTCGCGGACTCAAGTGTTACTGTGGATGTGACAGGTCAAATGCAGACCAAAACGGACGCAAATGGACAGAAATTGAAGGAAGTGCTTGAGACAAGGTTGGGGGAGAATGCTCTCCAGAATCCACGGGCAGTCAGGCTGAAGGTCGACGAGGTCCATGATCTGTTGGTGCAGCTGGAGAAGCAATTTGTCTGATGTATCATCGTCCCATCCTTGTCCTATAATGTTGACTACTAGTCTACGTCTCTATCCTGTATCATATCCCCAACAAACCCTGTTCCATATCCGGAGCATTAGTTAGTACTGTGCTCCACACCTATTCCCAATCGAGTGTCAAGTCCGTCCTGGCTTCGGGATGCTGCGGAGCCACCATTCTACATGTTAGGACTTTCGGCTCTCACTTCCAGACTCTTTCATCTCCTATCAGTTTCAGGGTTGGCTTGTAAGGAAGCATGGAAGACGTTCTTTTCGAGTTTCATATTAAAATACTACGGAATGAGATGACCATCTATCTCCGTACCGACTAGTCGTCGAAACTGCCTGGAAGGGTGAAATGCAGCTTTGACTTTCCAATTGCAAACTTGCTCCGCATAATTACTCCGGAGTATCACCGATACAGTCCGTCTGGGCCTCATCGCGGCATGCCGTTATTTGACAGTCTCTCAAAGAAGCTTCTATGCTTCTCCCTTTCTGATCCGCTCGATCAGGATCACTCATCGATTCGACCTTCCCGTTCCATGTTCTAGCGCCCAGCCACCAACGAGGTTACTCCTTTTTTTCAAGTTATTCTAGAAGACAAGCAGCCTGCGAAACTTCCCGAGTCGCAGTAGCTTTTGCCCCCTCATCCCCCTCTTCTCACTCGCCGTCGACTCAGGTCACTCCCACCACCCCCCCACTGCCGCTACAGCCTTTTCTTCTTTCCTGTTTTCCTTTTCGTTTTTCGCCTCTTGTGGTTTAAGTCCAATCCTTCTCATGGAGGGATCCGCGCTGTCGGTTCGATCTTCAGCGATCATATTGATGCGCGACCCTCGTTGATTTCATGGTAGTTGAACCAAGCAAATCGGGCATGGCCGACATCCCGTTGAAAACAAATCTGACGCGGAAGAGCGCCTTCTCATGTGAGGCCTGCCGCAAGCGCAAGGTGGGCTTTTTCCCCCCTGTCCGCTCGGGTGAATTCCGAAGGGGATATATGATCCTCGACGTTTGAACCTTATAGTTGGGCCTTATTTTGTTTATTAGACCAGACACTCATCGGCCTTGGCTATTTAGGTAAAGTGCAACGGTGCAAGTCCGTCGTGTTCGCGTTGTGCAGCTCGTGGGGAAGCGTGTGTTTATAGCTTGTGCGTCTCGGATCCGTATCCCTGGCTGTTCCTGCAGCTTCCCTGTCGATCCGTCCCCCTTGCTGACGCGTTGAGTTGTCCTTAGAGCTCCGACCTTATCGTACACCAAGCAATTAGAAGCTCGAGTCGCACAGCTGGAAGATGCTTTGGCCAAACTGCGGGGTCAGCAGCGGCCCGAGACAGATGTCCGGAAAGTAGGCTCACCGTCGTCGGCGGGCGAGTCCAGTGCGAGCCCACGGCCTCGGACAAGGATAAAAGAGGAAGAGGGAAACGGGCCCAATTTGGCCGGGGACTTTGAGGGTCTCAGGATTGAGCACGATGGCCGAATATCTTTCCACGGTCCTACCAGCTTGTTTCAGCTTCCGAGCGGTACTCTGAGCGAGTCCTCGGCATCTTCCAATCTTGCCATGCAGCTGGACGGGCGCAAGGAAAGACTCATCAACAATGCTTGGAGAGAGAGGGCATTTGAGCAGCTGGCTGCCATGCCGGTAGGTGGACTCTTGTTCCCAGAAAAGGACAGAGGCTCATTATGGGATTTCGGCAGGAACCATTCCAATATCTTCTTGACTCTCACTGGTGCTGGATTCAGCCGCTTTTCAACTTTGTTTACCGACCTGCATTTACTCGTTCGTGCCCCGATTGCCCGATCGTCAAAACCAGAAGTGCTTACGATCTCTAGGCGATATGAAAATCAACGGTCCTTATTACTCGGATACCCTTCTCAATGCAATTCTCTCTCATTCGGTACGATGGTGCAAGGCTGAACCCAAAATTGGTCCCATCCTGGAATCCTTCGATGGCGGCGCTCAATTCTCCCACCGCGCTGTGACGGGGTTGTATGATTCGTTAAAAGTCGGCTATGCTGGCATTCCGACCATCCAGACGTTGCTCATACTCAGTGCACAAGAGTGCGGGCGGGGAAATCGAACACAAGCATGGCTGTACAGCGGTATGGCCTTTCGATTGTTGGATGATCTCGGCATCTCCATTGATAGTCGCAAGTATCCGGATTCGGCTCAATTGAGCGATGAAGACATTGAGATTCGGAACCGACTCTTCTGGAGCTGTTATTTCTGGGACAAGCTGGTGTCATTGTACTTTGGCAGGTCGCCAACCATGCAAAACTCTCACGTCAGTCCGCCGCGAACTATATGTGAGTGCTCTCTTTCCCTGCCTAGCGTGGTTCTGTTACTCATAAGCTCTGGCAGTGGACGATACGTCTGAAATCGAGATCTGGACTCCCCATGGAGTCATTTTCCCAGAAGGCACTCATTATCCGCCGACGCAGGCTCATTCGACGTCGTGTTTCATGAGGATGTGTGGACTGGCGGAGATCCTGAACGAGATCTTGATCCACATTTACGACCCTATCCGACAGGTGTCTGAGGCAGAGTTCTATAGTTGTGTCCAGGAGCAAGCGAGGAACTTGGCAGAATGGTGGGATGAGCTGCCGGACTATCTGAGGCTGGTGGCCACGGACCTCCCTCCATACTCACCACCAAGCCATATCGTGATCTTGAAGTAAGTTTCGTCTCCGTTACGATTCGATGGCAATATTTGTCTGACGGGCTCCTCCACAGCTGCTTGTACCATACGATCAACATCCTCCTTCACCGTCCGATCCTTTGTTCCAAGAGAAACCGGGAGGCATACGATAAAAGTCACCTGGTCCAATGCATGACGTCGGCGACGGCCATATTATCACTATACGACCTCTACCGTCGTACATTTGGCGACGCGCATGTCGTGCTCTCATTAGCATACTCCGTGTACACGGCTGCATCGATATTCCTGCTGGAGATTCAGGCCCTAAAATATGCCGCGCCGGGTACACTCAATAAACTCAAGTTTTGCATCCTTGCACTCGAGCGAGTTAAGGTTTCAAGTCCTGGTACGTCACTGCACTTCTCTCGTCGACAAGCCC